TATATATATATATATATATAGACGACTGGTGATAAACCTAGTGCAAAGTTTTGTGTAATAATACTATAAGTATATTATGGTCTAATAAATACAAACCTATATTATATTAATATATACTAGAACGAGCTCAATGTGCATTTATTTATAGAGATACTAAAGCCTAAAGTTGGATTAGTCGAAATCACATGAAGCCAAACTTAGAGAATATGAGACGATTTGAGATCGGGCTAAAATGCGAATCGTCCTCCGGGCTGGGTTTTTTTTTTGCTGCTAATTATTGCCCAAATTGTGCAGCCTCGACTCAGGTCATGAAGAACACCTTTTGCTTCTCTTCTTTGTTTTCGTTAAAGCTTGACTAGAAGCGTATTCATAATGTTCTGTTCGGTGTGAAAGCTTCCGCTAGTACAGCAACCCGTTCTTTCCTCTAAGCTTCTGAGACGTTGTGATTTTTTTCTGTGCTCTTCAATATCTTTCCTTGAAGAGATTGCCCCAGCAATAAGCTGCCGTTCCACTTGCGTGGCACTTTCATCAACCTCCAACGAATTCTATTAGCGTTCCCGTTTGGAATCACTGAGCCTTGATTTTTATTCGTAAGCGATAGTTTCGCTTATGACCTAATAAGTCCTCAGCGACCCCCAATGAATTCGTAGCTTGCCGAGATTCAATGTAGAACATACACCGGATTTCCTATACATATTTGAAAATTTTGGCCCGTTAGTTAGCGCAAGATGAACTGGAACATGTTGTAGAGTATCAGTGGAAATGAATCGTCGTCTGAAATGTACCCAAGTAACGCTTGTTAGAGAACATTAATAGAATAACATTTCGAACGGAATGAAGTCGTATAATGGGTTTATTTTTCAGCACTGTCAAAGTGCGCTCAAACGACTTGCACGGTCCAACGACGGTCGAACTCAGAAGTAAGGGAACAGCTGAAGCTCTCTTAAGCATCAGAAAGTTAGGGAACTATCGTATATGCTAAGAGCTTAGCTTTGTGAACACAGCATTGTCTTCATAGGATAGGAAGAATTGTCTATTATTTAAATTCTTGTCCTATGCCCTTAAGGCCTATCGTACCGATGCTGTTACTCTCCCAATATTTCATTTTTAATCCTCTAGAATAAAATACGTTGCGTTTGTAGCATTTTTGCATGAAGTAATATATATTTTCGTCTTGGTCGAAATGGCGGCGGCTCCGCTACAATGGGATACGCTTCGAGTGCTCGAGCGTTATGAGAGTAAACTTTAACTTTGATAGTTCACTTTTTTCTTCTGTAATCCTTCCTGTAATTCCCTATATAATCCACATAATAAGGAATCACGCTTAAAGATAACTTGAGAGCACACAGCTAACTGGACAAATGACGGGCCATTCGCTGGCAACGGTTGATCTCGACATTGAGTCCAATTTTCTTGACGAAGACTACAGTCTCAGGTTATCTCAATTAAAGCCGTCTTTAATGACAAGCAGAAAGTTTTCATTTTCTTTGTTTCATTTCAAGTTCTTACTTTTATTATTTTGATCATTTCTGGTTCAGATCCTTTTTCTGTTTTTGTCAGTTGTGTACATTTCAAGTTGTTCTTCGCGTAAAAATATGCGATACATAAATTCTCTTATGAAGAGTTGTCTATAACAACCTTAGTCCATCGGTATTGACGCACCCCTTAAACCCATCCAACGTCCTTTTTAAGAGGAAGCCAACGTCCGGGTCGACATTTCGACGACTCTGGAACAATTTCAAATTAATGAATTACCTAGAAAAGTGCAACCTCAAAAGACACCGTTGTTTCGACACGATAAAACGTTTGTATTCGAAAAAAGGAACGCTATATTACTACTCTAAGCGTTTTCCAAATACGTACGGGTCCGAGTTTTGATGCCCCATAAATGCCTTTGACAGTTTTACAGAGACTGCTTCTTCTGTCCACCGAAAGACGGAAGACTTGTCAAGTAACATATGGCTCATAGTATGGTTCCTCTTCGGTGGCAACACCTATTCTCTATGGTCGCGTTGAGTAAATTGCGATCCGTTTGTTCCCCGCTTTCTGTAAAAGTTACTTTCGAAATTCGGCTGTTTCCTCCAACCGATTGAACTAGGACAGGCGGTCGTCTACGCGCATAAGCACCTAAGAAGAGTAATTCGTGCGCAAGTTAAATAAATATTGAAAAAAAGAATAAAAAAAAAAAAAAAGAGAGACTTTTCATTCCTCTGTTATTTATTATCGATAAACTTTGGATTCACTTCCTTCATTCACAGAGCTTCTCGCATTCCAGCACATCGCATACTTTTTGTATATATCGTCGTCACCATTATAATAATTGTCCCGACTCGTCTCATCGTCATATTCAACCAATTCAGGGAATCATCAGCGTTCATGTTTATGTTTTTATGTCTACTGCGTATTCTGTTATTATATCCATTACGATTGCTGTCGCCTGACCTGGCCAGAGACGCTGTTTATCTTATCGTATAATGGATACCCAGCCGCGTTCCTTACCAGGGATGATTCAGGCGAGAATTTATCATCATTGAGTCAATGCCGTCGTACTATACATTATCGCTTACTTGTTAGGTTTGAACGATTCGCACCGTCTACAATGAAATGAAGCACTAGTAGTAATAATAATGAATGGTAATTGTTATCTACGCCACGCTGTTGGGTCTTTTCATGCAGTAAACTTACAATTATATGCATCCCTATGTCTTCTCAGGCTGAGAATTAAGTCAGTCTTGTATGTATATTTACTATCCCGCCCTCTACCTGATGACATACCATTCACCAGTAGTAGATTCCATAGATTTCTTCTTATCCAATCCTCTCTCTCTACGCTTACCTTCGTATCTATACTTTCAATAGTCATATCAATAATCTTAATAATGTTATTATATGTTTACGATGTGATGGTATCGTCGTACAATATTATGATGACCCTTATCTAGTAATAGTACTTATTGACGGTATCGGTTATATATACGGTCCTATGCTTTAGCAGTAGTTTCGGTAAATGTACGTTACCGGTCTATTGCTAAGTTACTCTTGTCCATGCGTGAAACAGATGCGTCACTTGTTTAAGTGGAAGGGTTTACATTGATTGACGCACGTTTCTCGCCTTCAGTCGGCTTGCCCATGCTCTGGATGTCCATGAATAATATTGTTCGTGTGTGTGCATATAAACCTAAATCTACTATACTATTATATATGTATCGTCCTTGTTTGCTGCTATACCTACTCGGGGCATGAAGGTAGGAAGGAGTTTTTGTTATTGAGAAAAAATGTACAGTACAATAATGCCTCCTGCAGTAAACTCACAAAAGCTAATAATATTATTAATGCAACAAAAAAAAAAACGTGACGCTGCCCAGTCTAAGCTGGCACCCACATAGTAATTATAATAATAAACTATATATA